AGTCGCCAATAAGCATGCCTGTGTTCTAAGATCAGATGAATGGCAATAAAAAATCAGAAGGACATCAAGTACAAGGAACCTGAAAGTGAAATTAGGATAGAGGTGGTCTTAGTGAACTGAGAGCATAACCGCAGTGCTCAACTGCCTAAACTCGGTCACTCACGACCTTTTGTGAGTAATTTCCTTGTTAACTCCGTAATTGTTTGGAATATACCGACGGAGACAGATGTCCGTGGGATAAGGCATGATGTGCATTTTCACGGTCGACCTATTCTAATCATAGCCCTCCTTGTGGGAAGGCAGCATCGCTTTTATGCTGGTTGTCTGAAAGAAAGCTCTTGCTTCCGTGACACCTCTGTACAGTTAGCAGTACGACTTCACCCTTGGATCACAGATTTGCTGCTTTTGGTCTTACCGCTCTTCAACCGACCTGTCTGGCATGGTAGGACCTTGAGGAATTATTGTTCCAGTCAGTATAGCTCGACTGGTTCACCATGATAGGCAAGCCAGATCACCAAGCTAAGGTAGCAGGAAAGGCCAGGATTTGATAAGTGTATGATAAATATCAATACATTGAAAATCTGACACAAGTACATTACTATGAGTGTTTTCAAACGATAGGTATCAGGTCTTTACCATAGAATGTGCATTGCACAATTTAGTCAACGATGTTACAGATTGGGATTCGACAACACTTCAAATCCAGTATTAATTACGGTTAATAATTTATTCATCAATAAACCATGAGTTTAAATGACTAGTCGTCTATGACCATTTCAGTTCAGAATACTGATAGACTAATTTGGGTCACCGATTTCGTCACTCCACTTTGTCCTTCCTAAAAAATTATGAAACAGTTGAGAACCAATAAGATGTATGACTCATTGATCTGTGATAATCATTATTATGGAGTACTGAGAATCTCACCAAGATTAACAGTCACTGAATATTCGATAGTCTTCAAAACTAAACCTGTTTTCATCCTTTGTTTGATTGGAACACTTTTGTGAATTGCAGAGGCAGGTCAAAGATGCTTTGATATTCTGGACAAAGGCAATACAACCGAAGCGAATCTCTACCCAACAAATATTAATAGAACGGTTAGTTTATTAACAGTCATACAAATTGGGTAATTTCCATGTTGTGATATTGTTAGGATTCTCTTTGTTGCAGTTGACCTGTCATCCTAAACATTTATACTGATGTGTGATGTGATGTTTGTTCAGAGAACAAACCACATATATCTTCTGTCTGTTCTCTTACGGAAGTAAACTTGTAGTGTATCAGAGTCACCACTTTATTATACCAACGCCAACATCATTGAAATTCATAAAACTCATCTGCATCTATGACACAAGCTATTTAGGATTTATCAAACATATCTCGCAGTTAATTTGACTAAATCAACAACATTAGGCAGTATAGTGATGGTAGCAAAATTATAACAAAAACGCACCCTACTCCTCTACCAGTACGCGGGTCTCAATCGTTTCAATGCACCGTACATCTGCGAAGTAAAGTTGAACACTTCCCACGTTTTGTGAAACCTTTTGAAAGATGCTAAGACATTTACTGGATGACTGGCGAACGTACAGTTTGTGAATAACCACTAAAATCTGGTTATTATCACACCTATTACAAAAAGAAACTAGAACAACATATTTATACATTTCACTGAAACTAAGACATTGATGTTACAAATACTTTTGAATTTAGAGTGAACTGATAACAGCAATACAAAGCGCATTGTTCAACAGATTACTGTTGTCCATCAGCAATCCATCTAGTGTGATAATGCGTCCAAGAACATTACCAGTCATCAGCTCGGTCAAATAGTTTACTGGGTGCTATCGGTCAGAGTGTGGAGGAAAGCCAGTGCTGATGCGATAAATTGCATTGTTGGGAGAGGATTCCATCCCTATAATTGTTTCATTCCCAATCACTGTGTTCTGAACTCTCTGCATAGTGTCAGGGCTTTCATTAGGCAGACATCTCTTCACACCGTATATCCAGAGGTCGAGTGGTTTCTAGGAAGAGAGTCAACCAGTGAAAACCCGAACTAAGGAGGTAGTGTTTCGAGAACATCTCTGACAGAAATGAATTAAGTTTGAGTAGAGTACAGCCTCGATATAAGCAACAGGTGGTTGTCAATGCAGATGGTAGCTGATCGTGTCCATTATTGTTTGAGCAACGAGAAGTTAGAAATTTATTGTGTTTTGGATAGACCTCAGAGGTAAACACTGACACAAAACATTGTGGTCGACGGCGGTCGACTTCTTGAATGTGTCATTACACAATGATGTGCACTCAGAGTGATAAATAAACATTTCTTTTCGTGTTGTTTATCTTCTTTCGAATACATTAGCAATTGCAATGAACGAGTTCGATCACAAATGCGGCCACAATATCATTACTGCGAAGGTGGTTGTAACAAAGTGTCGATATGTAACGGTTTTGAAATCCCCGAGAAGTATCTCCAGGTCAGTTGCCCAGTTGAAATAATTGAATATTTGTCGTACCTTAAACGTGGAGATTACATCTCATCCATCATCAGAAAACATCCAATTTAGTGTAGGCAATAATCAATTCCATCCTCAACAATCCTATGAAGAACATCAGTTATTACTTCACACGAAATATGAATTGCGAATAGTTTATAAGTTCTTGATTCGTTACCTCTGGAGTATTTTATCAGTTCACAACACTCTAAGTGTCAGTAGAAAGTAAATCACGTCTCGATCAACGTTATTTCCAAACATTACAGTGTAGTTAGCGTAAACCCAGATGCGGTAAATCTACTTATTGCTTACACAGTTACCCTAATGAAATAGGAGAATCGTGCATTAAATACATTATTTGCACATCTTCCTTCAGTTTTCTTTCACATACTTTGTGATTCTTTAAATTCTGTCGCTGTTACATTGTTACTTGTTTGCCTTCCTGTTCTCTTCAATTCCATCTTGTGCTGGCAGGTATCCCACTTCCGATTGCTGCTAAATGTTACTTTTATCTTTTGGCATAGTTAGCATATACCACAACAGGATCACTAAACGTTGAATATGAATTAACATGAAAGTTATTTCAGTTGGTGCCCAGTAGCATCCAGTAAGATACATTTCCGAGTGTCGTGAATTTTATGTGATAAAATTCTTGCTGCTAAACACGTACGCTAGGAAATCTCACTGCATCATACAGATAAATAACCGAACTGTCAAACTCGTCAGTTGTCAATGTTATCGCTAGTCTGTTTCGGTGTGGTTAACTTTTCCATTAAATTTCATTATTACCGGGCTGTGATCATGTCAGACACTGTATCATTTTCAACATCACTCTGCATATTTTTTTCTCCGTAATAATGCGAAACAGTTAATAATTGTTTTGAAAGCTAAGGGAACTCTGGGAGACACCCATACAGTGTCGCATGATGGACTGTCATTCTTAACACAAAGGTAATTTGTGCTCATTATCGAACATAGTTGAGGTACAGAGATTTGTTATCTAATTTAGATTCTATCAATCCACACTGGCTGAGGAAGTGAAGCTTCAGCGGTCGTGTTGTTAATCGGTATTTTAACTCGGTTATTTGGATTTTTCATGTACTATGAAGGTCACCCTTGAAAAAACAAAACACTGATTTCCAGCTTTGAACAACTTTAAGTGTACATAATAATAATCATTGGATCGGTTGTGACAACAAAAGTAGCTTAAAACATTTCGAGTACAATTTTTACGTTTTGTCCTCTGACAACTTTATGCAAACCTTTCTAATGTTCCGACTCTATAGAAATGTCGTTCATCTGAAAAAGATGTTGTGAAAAAGTCCAAGTCAAAAAGTCAGACAAAAGTGACTTTATTCTGTTTATTCGTTCGGGTGATTATGGACCTCACACATCGTTGGCTACAGCTGACACTTGTCAGCTGGATTTAGACACGAATAGGTAAGTAACAGATCGGTTGGTGTGTCAAAATTATTGTTTGCGTTCGGTTAAAATCTTATACTGAGACTAACTTATCCAAATTTTAGTACCACAGATGTTCTTGAATTTCCTGTTTCATATCATTCAAGTATCACAACGTCTTAATTGTCTACCGACAATACGGACAATTCGCTGCCAAGCGTAACAAACAAGTGCAATGATTACTTCACTACCTCTCAAAAACCAATATAATTCAGATAACATGCGAGTCAACAAATTAAACTAGTTCGTGGTCTCACAGATATCGTGTTAAACATTGAGATCAAAAATGTTACTTCATCAAACTCAGCGTCATATGCAGTACACTAGAACGAAAATTGCATTCTCTATTAGCTCTTCACTTGACAATTTTAACTAACAGATTTTCTGAACTGGCTACGATTATTCACACATTGATTTTATACGGCCGTCTTCAGTGTCGATGAAACTTTAAATTGTGTGGCTCGATTTTGTGAAACAGGAAACACTTCTATACACGTGGTTAGCATTTGAGCGAAACCATCACAACCATTCGTGATGCCAGTGTTGTCCTGAGTTAGGATTTTTGAACGGTTCACTGAAAACGTCGTACAGTGTTGTGATGCAATTACCTGATCCGGTGGTGGGATGTTATCATGATCAGACATAAAAACTAGGATTGAAAAGAACAGTTGCATGTTTCTGATTCACTATGTACAGTTGCATTAGTTATATAGAAAACAATTTAGGAATCTTTCAATCACACGACAAAAATCTACTTGTTTTCAAAACACTGTTTCAGTCAAAATTTATTTGAAATTTATAAGTCGCCGCATCTTCTTTCTGACTTTTCATTATAAACTACCAATGCTCTGTGATACAATAGCTTCCGTTGTTATCGCAGTTACCTTAAATGCTGTCAACTTTTCAATGATTCGAGAGCTTGTCAGTTATTACGATTTATGCCACTTATCATTTACATTATTCCGTGCCTAATAATTGCGATTGTATTATTTTTGTTTGTAAACAAGACCAATCGCCGGTTCAATTACAATTTTATCAGCTATGAAATATATTGATTACAACCCAGGCGAATTGAAACGAGTTATTATTCATGAATTAGGACATACATTCGTGAGTGAAACAACTATTAATTACACAGTTTACTTATTCTTGTATTGTATTCTTGTAACGATGACCATTGAAGTCACTACACAATGTGCACAATGAAACAGTATTAATAAATTATCATTATCACCTTACTCACAGTTTCGGATAATTTCTCAGGTGTAGTAACCCGCGTGATTTGCAAGGACCTGCAAACTGAAGGACAATTTCACAGCTGTAGTTACATACTTTTGTTACGTTCCATTGTGTGCAACAGAACGTTTTGTTAAGAAAAGCATTGGGATGCTAACAGTCGTTAAACTTTCGTGAATTCATTTTAACAAACGATTGAATGCCTTTAAATTTATCGAAGAGATCAAGTGTATTGTTTTACTCCACTTTCGATGAGGATGTTAAGAAAATAGCAGAAAATAGCAATAATAAATAAAGTTACTTGACATATGCCTCTTAATGCCACTGTGAGACTCGTTCAAATGATTTCAATCAATAATAAAATATTATTTTTATTGAACAGGGCTTCGATTATCGGTTGTTTCCTTACCTACGTCATGATGATGGTAGTCCTAGAACAATGCGTAACCAACATACTGGTGAACCGGAATTGCCAACAAATGCCAACGAAGGATTAAAAGCTGATCGGTAAGGAACATTTAAAACACTACTCGACTCTCTGTCTTAACATCTTGTGTTAACACAACACTGTCTTATTTAAAATACATAAAGCGATGAAGTTCCAAACTCTTTCTCGAATCCAACTCATAGAACACTTTCTACGTAATTATTGAAAATATTCCAGTTTCCTCAAATCATGCTCAACTTTTTCATCCAAACAGTTCGTTTATAGGGTAGATAAGTATTCCATTGCAAATTACTGGCATGAAGTAACTAATTCAATCAGCAACTGGATCATCAGTTGCTCATTGGCAATGAATCGACTCCATTATGAATGACAATCAATGAATCATGGAATGTAAATTTCCCATTCAATTCCCAAATTGTTCAGGGACTGGTCTCATTTGACATGCGCAGTATTAAAAGCCAAATACCCATTGATATGTGAGAATTTCAGTTCAGGTATTTAAGTTAAGACAGACAGACAGAGTCTATACAAGCAATATAACCTTTTATTATCTTAATACTATTCACATATCAGATCAAATGACTGTCTTTTCAAAGTACATTTCAAACGTTGCAGTATCAATTTACTTATTGGAACCTTGTTTTCAGAAATACTATAAAATACGTATCCAGGACATGGCATACAGTCTCCGGTGAGAACACGTACAAGAGAGTCGCATTAACATTACCAAGTGTAGTCGTAAGTATATCATTGACTTTACACATATTTCACTGATTCTGTGATGTTTTATTGTGGTTTACTCCTAGAGCTTGTTTTATTGGCATATGAAGAGAGAAAATGTTTGTTAAATTGATTAATTTGTTCTCTCTCGCCTTAATTAGATAAATGTTATCAATGAATGTTTGGTTCAATATCATAAACAATTCACATCTATCGTAAATTTCCGATGGGAAATCAGGTGTTCTAACTGGAAATCATGAAAAATCAATTTACTTGTGCAAATATTATCATTATACTTTAACACATATATTAGCAATAGTGTGTAGGAAAACAATGGAATTCACGGTCAATCTACAAATCATAGAGTTCAGTGCCAAGTCAGTTCACTTTATACAGAGTTCGATCATTATGCCGATCAACACACTTCATTGTACTTATACAAACTGTTGTGTCTTACAGCCAACTAATACGCGTAGACGCGGAAAGGACGATGGAAACTGATACTCTATGCTTGGTGGTTCTCCCAATACTAACTAGCACTGAACGAGGAGGAAGTATAGAAGACCAACGACCACCAGTCCATACTTTTAAAACATTTTATTCATTCTTAGTAAATTATCACCAGTCATCCTTCGTTCGTCTATTTAAAGCTGTCCAAAAACTATCCGTACTGACCTTTGTACTGTATTTACATTGACACACACATATATGGACTGAAGGATTACTTATGTGTCTCTACCACCTCGTTCAATTCACACTTCAGTATGACTCTCATGCAACATTGGTAAGCAGTTGAACGTAACTAGTATTACTAATATATCTTAAAAGCACTTCCATTTCAACATAAAATTACATGTTTCTTTAAATAAAGACTGTCGAATTGCAGTAGTTTTGTTGACTTCAACCAACCTGATCAATGTAGCCTCTTGATGTATATTTGACATTCAGACAAGAATCTAGATTAATTTATTGTTATCTTCTCTTCTTTCAAACAGAACTTTGCAAGAAATCATTTTCGATGCAATGAGCTTGATGCGGTTGATCTAGAATCCGATGGTGGCGATGGAAATAAACATTCACACTTCGAACGACGTCTGTCTATTGTAAGTTTACATTAAATTTAACAAATATCAAGTCATAAATATTCTCTCGAATGATTACTCCAACGTCAATTCTGTGTTTTAATTTTTAGGGTGAAGCTATGTCTGCTACTTGCGACATCATGGCGTCTGTTTCAGGTTTAACTCTCAGCTACTTCAAAGATACTGGGTAAAGTTCAAAACAGTGTGTTGTTGAGTATGTGAATATGTGTATCGATGGTGAAAATTTCGTTGTATTTTCTCACTATGTAACTACAAGCTTAAGACGGTGATAATTAAAATGTATTAGTTTCAAAGTTTTGTAAAATGTGAACTGTTACTGCCATACAGTCTTCCTATTCGTGATCTCATTCTGCTGCTTGTGTGAGAACGTTGATAAATACCAGGAAGATTTATTAATTAAACTCTAATCGTAAGTGTATGGACAACTTCCCATAAATATATGTCTATTGCTCCCGGGACATTAAAACAGATATCCGACCAATAGTGTGTATCGGTCTTCTTCGAAAGTCGAACGTTAACCCATAGGTTGCACCTGTCAGAAATCTAACCTCTCACTTGGCCGATGACCGATCGACTGAGCGTATTCATTCATAATCATCTATATTTTCAGAGAGCCTTCTAGTCCTATAAACTATCCCATTGCACGATTTCTGAAAATGAAATTATCAGAATAATTGAAAATGAAATTAGGCATAACACTAATGTGCTGCTTAACTTCGTGATGACATTTCAATTAAATTCGCTACTTCGATTTTACACATCGTTCAAGTATTCATATAATCCTAGTAGACTGAACAAAAGATTACAATAGTGAGTAACAATTATGAGTTACTTTTAAATAATTATGTCCGATTAGCTGATCAACCTGATTTGGTTTGATTGTTATACCAGTTTGATCCGTTCACTGCATTATTTAAGCTTATAAATTGAACCAATTAAGATTATTGATTGTTAGGAGTTAATCGACAATTCCTGTCAGTGAATTCTTTGAACGGTCAGTAGATTATTATTATTATAAAATATGATGATGATGTTGATGATGATATCTATTAACTCTTCATCTTTCAGATGGTATAATGTAGATATTTCTATGGCTAAACCATGGGATTGGGGTCGTGGTCAAGGATGTGAATTTATTTTCAAAAGTTGTGGTGAATTCATTAAAAGGCAAGAATATAGACAAATATTGATATACCACATTTTCCTTTTTCTAGTGTGAGGTGAATTTTGACTGACTAGGTTTGTTAAACAGATACTTAAATTACTATCGTTGTCATCAATCATCTGTCGCGGTATATTACACACATAATTACCTATGGTCAATCTCAATCACAAGCATATAATTTTATTGTTTGTATTTCACTTTGCTGATACTAATTAGATAAAAGTTTTATAACTGCCTTTCATTCAAAATACGGTTGTAAACACAGATTTGATCTATTTCGTAAATAGTAAACTATCAAAACCACATAGCATTTGGAAGATCAAGGTCGTTGTTGCATCAGTGTAATTAATCTATGGTTAAAAAAAATGTAAGTAACCTAGTTATTTTTACATGAGTTGTTGTTAGAGCAGTAAAATTCCTAAAACTTAACAATATCCTTTACTGATATGTGGCTCGTGAAAGTAAATATGACTGGCCACTGAGCATGAACTAAAAGACACTTATATTGACTACTTAACTTGGAATTTCCTTCCTACTATTGATTTCTATTGCGGACTGACCCAGTATAACTACTCGTAATTCCATTGATTAAAAAGTATTGTTAAATGTACTCTCTGATTTGTTTTATTAGCCATGAATATCTGGTATCTGGTATAATATGGTCATTCTGTGTAGATAGTATCAATCGCGTATATGGTCTAATTGCTGTAAAATCTGAGCAAACATTTGTGGTATCGTATCACAACGTACATAGTAGAAACAAGAATATACTTTTATTTCTGTCGTTATATCACTAACTGGCAAACACTGAATATAACTTGTATTAAGTCGGTGTCGATTGCCATTCTATATAAGTGTGGATGTCAAACTCTAGTTAGTGGGCGAAGTAAATGACAATAAGAAGTAGTCGCTTCTTTGTCATTGAAGTCGGAATTGCGAGTTATCAGCTTAGTTCATAAAATTCTTAGATGTTTTAAACAAATGTAAATAGTAAACGGCTGTGGTGTCATGAAACTTGATGACTGGTGCACATAATCATAACTAAACAGAAAATAACTAAAATCTGTCAGAAATCTTCGCTCTGAATTACGGTTTAATTACGTTCTAGACACTTTAACGAATATAGATTTCCGTTGATACTCACTTGTAAAACGACCGGTCAATAGTGCCAAACTTTCTTATTTCACAGACAACACAATTCACGGTAAACATATTTTCACCGAAATATCTACTGTCATTAATTCATGTGTCTACCAAATATTTGAATGAAAGTGTACGGTGGCGAGGATTGTTGAATTTAATTGAGATAATGAACCGATCAATGTTCAACCACCTTTTAAAATCCTGGAGATACTGTGCAACCGTTTCGTCCTTCTATGAAACGCCTCACCAGTGGCACTCCAGGATCATTCATACGGGACTCAAACACAGGCATTCGTATACTCACAAACGCTTAAACTTTAAACCTTTGGACAGGCATCCGGCAGTGTTCATACCCAACTTCAAACAATCCCACGACATTGAGCGGTTATCTTCAATTGTCTTCGATGAGTGACTGACTCATACTGACACAGTTGAACTCCACTGGTTGCATGTTCTCGCTAAAATGAATTTTGGCCTGCTTTTATTCAACTTGCCAGATTAATTCATCATTAATTATTGAAATATGTTGATACAATGTATATGGTCAATCGTAACGTGGTTCACCAGTCTGTTGAACCGATTAATGAATTGCGTTTTAACACCTTTCATTTAATTGAGCTGATTATCTGACTTGTTTTTGTTTACAGTAACCGGACGTCATCACCTTGGTGTGATAAAATAATTAATACAGAGTCAATTATTCACTGCATTCCGCATGTGAATGCATACGGAATATGCAATTTGATAAAACACAGTGTACCTCTAAAACCAGAGCATATACACTTCGATAGCCTGCCCAAAATAAGGCCTTCGCAACTAAGTAGGTTTGGAGGAACTGACACTTATGCTGATCACTGTCCATATTTGTCTGTAAGTACAGTTTTATATAGTTGTACATTTTAATCAATATACCAAGATTTGGATTCAAAATAAACCAGTTACAATGCAGTGATACATACGTTTTACTTTGCATTCAAACGATTAACAAACGAAACGCAATATTCACTAATCAATGTTAAACAAAATCGATCAAATAAATAATGTATTTATAACAATCAACCCAATACTCAATTTATTCGAAATTATCAAGTCAAAGCTTGGTAATGATACCTACAGAATCGATCAAAGTTTGTTTTGAGAAAATTAAATCCTAAAGTGAATAAATCGGTTTGAGTAATCGTTTCTCAAATTCTAAGTTAATAATTGCGAAAAATACGTATTGTTACGGCTGTGGTAATCAACTTGAACACAGTTCACTTCAGAATACAATACTCAGTTATATATGAATTCATTGCTGTTTCTAAGTAAATTTAGTGATCACAGACGACGAAAACTCACATACAAACTTTGACATGATAGACTATTTGACTTTTAGATGATACTATGTATAAAATCATTCAAGATCAGGATTGTACACGAATATTTTTACATACCAGTCATTTTGTTTAATTTCTAACTATCGCATTGTGTCACATATTCAAAGTTTTCTGATTTACTGGTCCAAATATTTCGAATTTTATCTTCAGAAAGTGTTGATCTATGCTGTACGTAAACTGTTTTATGATAAAGATGATTTCAAGTGAAAACTAACATCTGAAACTAAATTCTAATTTTTGAATAGCTACGTGTCATTGGTATTACAATTAAATGTGTACGCTGAGGTTTCATTGGTATACCATACAAAACACCATGAATAAATATCCTTCACGAAATAGGACGACTCATATGAATAGTTGAATTTGTGTTGATTTATTCCATTCGGCTATTTCCGGGAGAATGTCTCACAATGCCTAAATGACTCTGTAATCAAGTGATTTGTGAATCTTTTCCAACAATATGGATGGTGGTTGCGATGCCAAGCTGTTTTCTAATTACTGTCACCATTCAGAAAGATCACTTTTAACTGATTGTCCATAGTTTAAACAGTATGTGTTTTGACTTCTCAACTAACCACAAAAAAATGAACCACTTCACGATTCTCTGATATCAACGCTAGTAGTTGGGCAGATAGTTATTGCAACTACTGAAAAATTACTTTCTCAACAGAAAGTAGGGATAAATAGTCGAACACATTTCTAATGTTTGAGTATACAGGTTTAAATTGCTCACTACTATTGTTTAATCATGAAGGTTATATACAGTGATTAGAATAAATCTATTATACACCTGTTGAGATGCCTTATACTTGGTATATCAGGAGGAGATTGTTTTGTGACTGTCATTCATAGACCGTCGAATAATTCAGGTAAGTTTGTTGTTCATTTAGATTGCAAAAGTAATTTGTAGAATTAGGGTTTAATCTAAACTGAGATTGAAAAAAGCTTGCGTATTATGACTTGGACATCATGACACTTATGCAGAATAAACCAATGCATTTTTGAGTTGTATGGGACTCACTTCAAACAGATTACATTCTTCACAGCCCGAATAACATAGCTTTCTGATTAGGACCACGGTGTTCTAATTGATATTTTATGAACTCAGAGTTATGTGTCAATAGTTTGGATAATAATGATATATATTGCATGAAATTGAATCACCTGATTTATTTGTAAAATTCTTGTAGGATGATCAGTAGAATGTACTTTGACACATAATATATTATCATAATTCATTGTTCTGTAAATATTTTCTTCAGATTTTAACCATTGTTGGTAATAAACCACTGAATTCTCACTGTGGAGATACTAATAATGAGAAGTACCTAAGTAAGTTTCCTTTATTCGAACTACTTACAACGAATACACTCAATTATCATCACACTACTTATTACTGTGAAGTAGCGAAGTATACTATGGAACACTATAATTAGACAGTAACATTTATCTAAAAGAAATATACAGCAAATTATCACGATACCTAATGTTATTGATCTACATACAATGATATAATAAAAACGGAACTATCAGGAAAATATTCATTACGATTTGATTCATGGAACACTGAAAACTGGCTACCAATTAGTATACAGAATTTTAAACTAATTAACGTGTAACATTTCAGTATCCAGAAAATCAAGTAGTGGCCGACTAAGAGTTGTTAACTAAGTTTAAACTTCTAATTCTTCTTGGTATCCACTGAGTTAGGGATTCGTTTCACTTTATTGAATGAATTTGTCTCTTTATGTATTGATCTACGTACCAGAAGTTGATAGTGAACACTTTATCCTAAAACGTTTACTGTCAGCTCACATAAGAAGGAGATTGAACTTTTGTTTTTATCTTACAATGAAGACCAGGACAGCAATAATCAATATTATGGAAAGAAGTCACGATGTTTCAATTATGGAACAAAGTATGTGAATGAAATGGCGATCGGGCATTCGCGGGTTGCTTTAAAGTAAGCTGTATATATGCTATTCGTATGAGATTTCCTTGATTCTTTCAATAATTTTTCATCAGGTGCTACAATTATAAATCCAAATTAATAATCCATAAAATTGGCCAAGATTTAAGGCAATATACATCATTTAAAATGGTAATATGTGAATCAAGAATTATCAGAAGGGGTTTGTGGAGATTTTTAGAAATTTTCACAGATTGAAATCATGAGTCAGTTGAAGCTAGACTACCATTGAAAACCTGGAAGCACTGGACGGCCGTTTCGTCCTAGTATGGGACTCCTCAGCAGTGTGCATCCACGATCCCGCACCACGCAGGGGCTCGAACCCAGGACCTACTGGCTTTGCGCGCGAGCACTTAACCATTAGATCACTGAGCCGGCATCTAACGGTGTTAATGTCTAACTTCAACCAATCCACGAAGTTGTTTGTTATATAAAATCAATTCAGATCGTTAATGTTGGAGCTGACTAATATAAAGTGTTAACATGAATCAGTTTACAAGTGAAATGGAATTGTGCAATAAATGATCAGAATAAATATGGTCAGCATGAGGTGAGAGAGAAAATAATGGAATAAAAGTCGGAAATTACGTAATATGTAGAATAATATGAATTAGGTCAGATATATAGTAGATCGTAGTGGATACTGAATGAACTCCTCAAAACGGTTATCAAGTGTAATGATAATAATAATAACAATGATAAAGATTAATTAAGAACTTTCGTCTAAATTTGAACGAATAGTTTCACAATATTTGGGCGCCGAGTTAATTTGAGACATTAAAAAGAAGAATATATTTGTAAAATCTCAGCGAAATATTGGAAAAAAAATCTTCCTTCATACAATTGTGTTTTAATATAACAGGAATTTTTCAGCGATTTCCTTGATTTCATAGTTCAGTAGAAAGTAACTTTAATGTGGTCGTTTTTGAATACACAATAATATGAACGTATATCTTATGCAGACTTTCCAGAATAATACAACCATGCCATTTTGTTCAATCAAAGAAATTATTTATTCTCATTAGTATTTACTTCACCAGCTGACATTAGTTTGCATAACTAACTTATTCATCAGAAAATATTGATTTATTTCCGATTTCAAGGTGAAGTGTAGTCTTGAATTCAAACATCTAGTTTACTTCCGTGGTGATTGGCGTGAATGTCCAAGAGACGGTGGTATTATGGAAATAGCTGAAGATATAACTAGACATGATTGGATCCAATGTCCACGTTTTCATGATGTATGCTCTGTGAGTTAAACATAGTCGATATTTTGACTGTCATTTATCTATTTCCTTATTCAGTTTGTGTAGAACGTAGCAACAGAAAACATTAACCGAATTTGAAAATGTCGATAATTAAGTTGTGATTCGTCACTTTCTATGATGAACACTTTCAATGGTGTCATAGATGCTCACTTGTGAGGCGTTCCATATTACGACAAAACAGTTATCCGGTTCTCTGTTCTTTTTAAGTGGTACTGTCAATGATGCTAATCTGTGGCGCATACAACTTATTAAATATTGACCATTTCAGATTAATTCATATTCCATTTGCAAAAAGCTGAGTGCACAGTATAGATTATTTCTCATAGCTCATACACGAGTGAAATAAATAATCATTACTGTAACGTCGAATTCACTATGCAATTTTAACCACGGTTAAATTAAACAGTCAGTCAGTTAAATGTGACATAAAACTCGACATGTGTATACATTGGTTCAAGTTGCCATACCTCATTAACACAATGAGATGGAAATGTTAGTGGAGATTGCAGAGTAATAGATGTTGTAACAGGATCAGTAGTAACAAAGAACAATAACCATTCAAGAAACGGTTCAAGAAGAAAACAATAACTAAGGAACTGATAAAAGAAATTTGTGAGGAAGTCAGAAACATAGGTTCTGAAAGAGAACAAGGAGCGAAATTCAGATGCGTCATTGCGAATGATTTTAGGTCATTCAGTTGAAGATCTCTCTGCATTCGTTACGATAATCACGTGAACCCCAACATGGTAAACTGTACCTGTTCACATGGCTCAGTTCACCAATTATTGTCTTCACAGACTGATGACATGTTTTATTATGGCCGCCTCTAACTTCCTTCTAATCTACTTCTATATCAGCCATCATCATATATCGAGGTGGTCTGTGGATGGGTATACGTAATACATGTTTAAATCATCTCAATTGATAAAGATTTACTACCTTGTCAACTGATTTACCATAGTTATCTAGTGCTCTGTGACCAGTCTCAGCATTCTCAAATTCATAGTGCATAAACATACTAGCAATGATTCAAAGACATCCATGATTGAATACTTACAACCTACAAATATCCTCTATTTTTAGAGGTCATGTTTCACACCTAACCATAAATTGCTCACTACATTTTATTGAACTCGATACAAATCTACATCTGTGGTCAGTAATCAACTCTACAGAACCAAACATTTCAAATAGAAAACAATAGTGTAATATTCTGTTGTTATGAATAAGCTGAACCACGGACTAAGTGTTCTAAAATTGTTCATGTATAGTGTATGAACGAAACAGTAGACAAACGCGTAGCCACTCACATAGTCGAAAGTTTTCACCTATTTGCATGTTACAATGTCGGTCAACTATAACGGAAACAAACTCATAACACGTGTACATGAGTTAGATTATTTCAGCCAATGGAACATAACTTTTTCATGGTTGAAATTGACACAACGCAAATTGAACTGTTGATAAACCAAAAATTTGTCTATCACCATTACTTACAAAAAGTGTATGAGTTTTGTTTTATCATAAATGAAAACACCAACAGCTATTGCTAAGATATGTATGATTAATTTACATTCCAAACTAAACGATTGTTAAATCGATATTGAAGATCGTACAACATATTACATTATGATTAGATTCAGTTTCTTTCTATTCACTTTCATTCATATTTGTTTAGGTTGAAAAAATACGAGAAAGAAACAAAAGGAGAGAGAAAGAACAAAATCTTATTGCGCAATCGTAATGAAATAAGACGCGTTTTGTCATTAACGAATCACACTAGTTTTATATTGTAGTGAAATTTATCTCATGATCTTAACCATTGAAATTACTATAATATCCACAAAACCCAACTGATATTAATTTATTGTTTAAAAATCCCCATAGTATTTGAACGAAGAATATTGTTTTCGATAAATTCACTTCAGTTACTACAATTCATATATCCAAATTAGTAGTCCGAAAAATGATCAGGCAAGGGCAAAGTACATCATTTGAAGTATGTGAATTTAGGATTGTTAAACAATATGGAATAAAATTGTTAATGTCGATATGACTCATATGGAATGTCAACTTGAATTAGCTTATATATTAAGTGCAATTTTAACACTCATGATCAGAACAAATATGGGTCGGATAGGGTGAGAGAAATAATAGTGTAGTTACAATTTCGATCAAATATTTGATAGAAGACTACAATGTGTAAAAGTTTTATATGAAAATAATAAGAGATGAATGCGAAATAAATGAATCATGTATTGGGAAGAATTCATAATGATGTTAAACCAATAACAAAAGCAAGATTTGGGAATTTTGATGGAGTTTTGTTCTCTGAGCTGGATGGTTTGGTCGTGGAGCTTTCATCGTTCTTCTGAACGACATCATCAGCACAAACTTCAGATAGAAGTGAAGTGTTCGAATTTCTCCATATGTGTTTCACAGCTTGTTCTGTGCACCTCGATGTTGATTGGTTCTTGTTGACCTTAAATTTATCATTGTTTACTTCTTTGTTTTGGTTGTGTCTCCCATTGGTTTGATTTTTGTTCCCATATTTATGCATGGTTTTCCTGATTGGTAGATAAATTGGATTGATTTCAATATGTTTGTTGATTGCTGATTGACCTGAGTGCCAGGCTTCTAGAAATTCTCTGGTGTTTTTGGAGTTTCCTCTGTCTAAGATTTCTACATTTTCCCAATCGAATGAGTGTCCGTAGTTATCCACGTGTATTGAAATAAGTGAAGAAATATCATGGCGTTTGACTGCTAATTGATGTTCATGTAGGCGTAGGTGGAGGGGACGTCCGCTTTGTCCGATGTAGTGTTTGTCGCAGTTGGTACAGTTTATTTTGTAGATAATGTTTGATTTGTTCTCCTTTGTTATTTCATCTTTTGGTTTGCATAAGATTGATTGTAGTGATTTTGTTGGTTTGTGTGCCACACCTATCCCGAAGGTTTTCAGCAGTCTCGTTGCAGTTTCTGATATTCCTTGTATGTACGGTAGGGTGATCCTTTTACTGATTTTTGTGCCTGACTTGGGTTGTGATGTTGTGTGCCGTTGGTGCTTTTTGATAAAGTTGATTGGGTAGCCGTTCTTTTGAAATATGTCCTTCAGGTATTTCTCTTCATTTCTTCGTGCTGCCAGTGTGCTGCAGTGTGTCCTCGCCCTCTTGAACAATGTGTGTACGCAGTTGATTTTGTGAGCCCTTGGGTCGTTGCTGTTGTAGTTGAGAATTTGATCTGTATGGGTTGGTTTCCTATATACTTGAGTTTCCAGTTTTCCTGTATCAGTTCTAGTGATCAATATATCCCAAAATGCTAGTTGGTTGTTTGACTCCTGTTCCAAACAACCAACTAGCATTTTTGGATATATTGATCACTAGAACTGATACAGGAAAACTGGAAACTCAAGTATATAGGAAACCAACCCATACAGATCAAATTCTCAACTACAACAGCAACGACCCAAGGGCTCACAAAATCAACTGCGTACACACATTGTTCAAGAGGGCGAGGACACACTGCAGCACACTGGCAGCACGAAGAAATGAAGAGAAATACCTGAAGGACATATTTCAAAAGAACGGCTACCCAATCAACTTTATCAAAAAGCACCAACGGCACACAACATCACAACCCAAGTCAGGCACAAAAATCAGTAAAAGAATCACCCTACCGTACATACAAGGAATATCAGAAACTGCAACGAGACTGCTGAAAACCTTCGGGATAGGTGTGGCACACAAACCAACAAAATCACTACAATCAATCTTATGCAAACCAAAAGATGAAATAACAAAGGAGAACAAATCAAACATTATCTACAAAATAAACTGTACCAACTGCGACAAACACTACATCGGACAAAGCGGACGTCCCCTCCACCTACGCCTACATGAACATCAATTAGCAGTCAAACGCCATGATATTTCTTCACTTATTTCAATACACGTGGATAACTACGGACACTCATTCGATTGGGAAAATGTAGAAATCTTAGACAGAGGAAACTCCAAAAACACCAGAGAATTTCTAGAAGCCTGGCACTCAGGTCAATCAGCAATCAACAAACATATTGAAATCAATCCAATTTATCAACCAATCAGGAAAACCATGCATAAATATGGGAACAAAAATCAAACCAATGGGAGACACAACCAAAACAAAGAAGTAAACAATGATAAATTTAAGGTCAACAAGAACCAATCAACATCGAGGTGCACAGAACAAGCTGTGAAACACATATGGAGAAATTCGAACACTTCACTTCTATCTGAAGTTTGTGCTGATGATGTCGTTCAGAAGAACGATGAAAGCTCCACGACCAAACCATCCAGCTCAGAGAACAAAACTCCATCAAAATCATCCACCTGAGCTACAAATCTTCTCCACCATCACAAGATTTGGGAATAAACATAGCAATCAGTACCTTTTATAAATTTCGATAGAACAATGAAAAGAGAATGCGATGTATTTGTGCTATACATTTCGAACAATCTGGTCACACATATACTTGTCAAGGCATTTTATATGAAGATTAATAGAAGTCAATTAAATGAAAGTTCAAGCAAAAAGGTAACAAAGGGCAGAGAAACAATTTTACATCGTACAGAAAGAATAAGAAATTTTCGCGTTATCATAGTAAAACCTAAGAATCTGGAAATAACGCACTTGAATCAAGAAGTACTAGACAAGCACGAACGAATGTATTGTATTTAGAATTCGAAATCAAGCATTCAACAAGTACAATGAAATCATTAGTTCATTCAAACACCACATCCGCCACGGCTTAATTAGGAGTATAAGTGTCTGTAATTAATTGTACGTCTTCTCAAGTTCATCCTGTGTCTGTCCGACATTGTATTGAATATAAACTTTGTATTATCTATAATGCACTCATGAGTATTAGAATTAACAACCGAAATCGGAACACACTAACCTGCTTGCTGGGATTGGGTAATCAGCATGTCGATTGTGTACTGAAACCGCTGCTACCTAGGATTTGAACCATAGACTCTTAGATTACCCTCCCCCACGAAATAATGTCGGATCTTCATATCCCCAAGTTATGAATAATGTGGCTTCATTCAAAGCATATTTCTCACATTGACTAGAGTAAACATTAGAAGTGTTTTTGTGATAAGGATAAACAGCAGTTGATATGGAACCTGCCACATCACAAGCATTGACCAAACTTGTGGCCATCTTCGTGAATTGCATCCAAACTCCTCAATGAATTTTCCACATAACCTTGAGTATGCACTGGGTTGGGTGACGGATGTAGTGGAATGTTTTATATCCTTGTGAATCATTTTACGAAACCTCCCATTACCGCAATCGAAATTTGTATACTTGACATAGTCTAGAAGTAGTTCCTTGAGAGTTGTATAAGGAAGCGAAATGGGCTTTTTCAGTATAGCCAGAGTTTTTAATAAGCTATATGCTTCTTTTCCGATGAATGTGAGGAAATGTGCTACAATATTAACATCCTCATCATCTATCTTGATCATAGCCCAAACTTCGAACCTTTCAAAGTAATCCTCAAAAGCATCAAAATCTGAATGTATATCCAACAACTTCACCACAGGATTCATCGAGACGCCAATGTAATAATCAGGAGTATTTGAATTATAGCATGAACTAAGAATCCCAGAAATATCGTAATCGGATCAAGAAGTACTAGATAAGCACAAACTAATTACTGTATTTGGAATTCGAAATCAAGCATTCAACAAGTACAATGGAATCATTAGTTCATTCAAACACCACAGATTCCTTTTTATTGATCCATCAGCTCTCTTGAAAGGCTATTCTATCTTCACTTTCTCATTCAGATGTAGACTTAATGACTGTATGTGCTTCATTAAATCGCCTAAGAATCTCTTGTTGTGATGCACTGTCTTTACAGAGGATAATTAAAGTCAAGTATTAAAAGTCACTATTACTTTTGAGAAATTAATGAAGTTGTTGAACAGGAAGTATAAATATGTTAAACAAATCACTGTGTCTAGAACGTTGGTGATGCTTTCAGCCGATAAATGTTATGTCCACGAAATGCCTAACTGAATTAATACTTGATACGGATAGTTCTGCTTCACATAACGCTTCTTTCCTTGAATTATATAGGTTGTCAGGAAAAAGCCCTTGTTATTGTGAACAACTTGAGATTTTTGAGCAAGAATTAGTCATCGATACGTTTCAACAAACCATAGTTTGTAATTTATCAAGTAATGTTTGAAGATGAAATATCCAAGATACGGCACTTTACTTTCTCTGACCACTGTTCGCAATCTGATCTTCTTAGTTGTGAACCTAAAACACTACATCAGTCCCAAAACATATCTCGCACAATCACTGAGATAAAAAATAACCGCTAGACTGATTAGTATTCAGTAATACTCATAAAGCGTGACGTGCGATTAATAAATAAAAGCAGGTTTATTTATGATAATGGTCAGTATGACCAAGGAGAAGGATGTGTATTTATTTAGAAGATAAAATTTCAGTCTTAACACACTTCTCACACACGATATTTGAGTTCGTGAAAGGTAGGACGACGTCCTTTTTCAAGATTCTTCCAATAAAATCTGAGCTTATTAGTAAGTTCTGAATAGTATGTTCCATTTCTGTGAATAACAGGGATGAGACTTGACTAATGTGAAACTCATCACGCTGGATAACAAAACAATATTGCGAGGGTAGGTTTAAGGTGAGAACAAACCGTTTTCGAATACGTAGAGGATGTTT